TCTAAAATTCTAACATGATTTTACACATTTAGTGGTTTGCTTTAATGGATAATTTGAATGAATATTTTTTGAAGATCTTGATCTTGATTTCGTATTTTTTGATTATTCATATATTTTTGTGCCTTGCTGGTGTTTCAAAGTTATGTAAAAAATTAGCCACTATATTTTTGTGTTACGTAAACGTAAATAAAATTGATTTTCCCCGTCGCTGAATTGATAACTGTAATTTTTTTTCAAATAAAATAATTTGATTCAGAAATTGTCTTTAAAATAAGTTCTGATCGATCAGTAATAGAATCTAAATCATCGAGATGGGTATCATCTTTGAAAAAATTTATATATTACTGCAGAGGACTTGATTAAATAAACTCGAATTCTTAATATTCGCGTTTATTGAGAATATCGTACGCGAAAAATAGGAAATAAGAGGATATAGAAAGAATATTTGTGATAATTCATGTTTTTTGCCCTGATGAAATATTCTTTTTCAAAGCTGAGTCTAGATGATCAATTTTCCTGTTTGGTTGTGTTGCATGGAAAAAGGTCCCATTTCACTTTTGACAAAAAGTGACAGGTTTACATGACAGAATCAGTACCTCGCAGACTATATTTAGTTAGTATGGTTATGTTGGGTACGGTGGCACTGCGTTCCACCTTACTCAACATAACCTTAAATATTTACAAAACCGCCACACACTTCACTTCACTAACGAACTCACTAATGTAAAAAATAAACGTTCTCACTATCGTTCTCACTAACGACTTCACTAATGTTCTCATAAATTTTCCTCAATATCTTCATCATCAGTGTTAACCCTATTGTAGTCATACTTGAAGCCATAAACTTTCTCTAACTTCTTAACGTACAATTTACATAACTTACCTTCGTCATCATATGGTTTAATGATATAACTATTTCTATCTTTATACACAGTCAATGAAAAGTCAACTGGTCTCGGATGTATTTGAAAGAACATGTTATGCTCAGGAAGGAAGAATAAATGTTTAAATGTATGTTTGTTATACTGTGGAATTCGAATGAGTTGCTTTTGTTCTGTCATTTACATCCAAATAAAAATTTTCAGTAAATAAAAAATAAACTTAAAATTAATGATATCACCACCCTCACACGTATGAAAACATAGCACAAAAATAAATTTAGGTGAAGTGGTGAAATCTCACCTCTTTTTTCACCTCTTTTTTCACCCGTTGAATTCATTACTTTATAACTCTCTTCCTTGGTTTCTTTTTAGTTGCTTTCTTCACGTCTGTCTCCAACTTGACTGTCTTTCTTCTTCGTCCGTAATGATACCAATTACTTCCACCAGTCAATGGGTCAAATGGTCTTTCGTAAGGGTTTCCATACATTCCATAGGGACCATACGGAAGAACTACTGGTGGAGGAAGAGTTCCATCGACTCTATTTAAATGCATTGTTTCACCTTTCATCTGGTCATTAAAGTCTTTTGCGTGTTTTGCAAACTCATCGTCCTTTCCTAAAGCATTTTCTGACTCAGTCGCAACCAAATTGGATGCTTTATTTATGAGCCCTATTTTATTTAATCTTAACTTCTTTGCAACCCAGCCTCCAATCTTTCCTTTATTTGCATCTAATGTCTTCGAAACTCTTCCTCCACTCATTTTATTTACTGCGTCATAAGCTCCAAGTGCTTTTGCTCCAAATGCTAATGCTTTTGTTCCCATTGCGCCTAAAGCTGCCCAAGCTACCATTTACACCATATTAAAATCATCTCTCTTCAATATTATCTCATAAAAGTTCTCGTTACTGGAGAAAGTCAATGAAACATAAACATTCTCATGGCTTCGCCTCACCGCTTTGCGGCTTCATAACTTCTTTCTTATATCATCTATACGCTTCAAAATGTCTGAACAATTGCTAACATCTTCTACAACAGTTATTTCATCATGAATGACCTTCAAGAACAAGCTCATTTAATATGCTATTAAAATCATCTCAATAATGAGTCCATCCTTTCCATCTTTAGGTAGCACAACATCTTTCATTGAAGAAGGTTCGACAAGTCTTATGTTAAACTTACTGACAAAGTTTGTTATACTATAATGCTTCGGTGGCGAATACATGTAGTTTGAAAGACATAATATAGATTCTTCAGCAAATTCACTTATACTGGATTTTATAACAATGTTCTCACGAGACCAAATACCACCAATTGACAATCTTGTAAGCAATCCTGCTGAACCTTCAACTGTAAACGTCGATGGTAACATTCCACGAAGGTCATCTATTGACATCTTTGAGTCACTGAATTTAAATATTTTCTTAAAGCAATCGTCATTATCTAACCATGCAATAGCTTTGAAGTTTTCATTCGAATATACATCTGCTTCATTAAATGTAAAACCTGACTTCTTTGCAGAGATGACTTTAAAATCTATTGAGTTTGTTTCAAAATTATATGCTATGGTAACTTCTGAAGGTAATGGATGTCCTTCCGCAGTCAGTTGTTCTCTCACTACCGTTTGAAGCTTTGTGTTAAAAACTTTCATGTCATCTCCTGTGTCTAGGTTCACATACACAGCAACAGGAAAACTATCTTGCTTCTTTGTTTCATCATTATACCTCAAAACATTAAAGTTCTTCAATAATATTGTTCTTCCTGCTGGAATACTTCGAACCTGTCTGATTTCAATAGCTTTCTCACCTCCTACATACTCTACCCAGTGTCTTGGATATTCATAAGTATACTGACTTTCTTGAATTTTGGTAGGTTTCATCATAACGTGTTCATAGTATATCTTTATACTCTTGTCAGTTAGACTCGGTGCTATGTTCTGAATATTTCTGACTTGCATTTTTAATGGAGATAAAATGAAGCATTTAATACATGACGTAGATGAAGACATGAATGAAACTACAGACAAACTTAACTCTTCTCTCATTCTTCCTTTCAGTAAGGACTATGAGTTCTGTTCAAATGGCGTTTATTTCTATTGTGGAAAGATGGGTTCAGGTAAGACATTTAATTTAATTCGTCATATACTCATAACAGAACGTTTAGGAAATGACTCATTTATGACCAAATCATTATATCAGCAACTTCAGACTCTATGGACTCAACAGCGAAAACATTTATGTCAAAAGTTCAAGCCTCTGTCGTTAAAGTTCCAGACAGTGAACTCATTGAATTTCTTCAACGTTACATTCGACGTAAGAGGAAATATTATGCCATCGTTGAATTTATACAGTCAGGAATGCAAAAGACTTCTGAGGAGATGGAAAGAATTATTGACAAACACCACTTACGTCAGTACTCAGGAGTTTACGATATGAAACGACTGACAAACTACATTCTATCAAAACTTTCAAAATACCCCTTCAAAAAATATCCTTCAAACACTCTGCTCGTTTGCGACGACTTCGCCGGAAAAGGTTTAGTGTCAAAACCAGACTCACCATTAGCTAACATCATTACTAAAGTCAGACATTACCACTTAACTGTAGCAATACTTATGCAAACATGGGTTTTTAGCTTTAAACATAAAACGTCTCATAACTGACTTCGTTATCTTTCAAGGTTTCTCACGTTATGATATTGAACTCATTTGGAAACAGTCAGGTATAACATTACCTTTTGAAGAAATTTGGGAAGCATATAAGTCTCTCATCTCTCCTCGTTCATACCTTGAGATTCATATCATGACTAATACCATTAAAGTCAAAAATATTCCATGGGAACGACCAACATTGTTTTAAAGTTTAACCTTCAATTGACTGATGGTAAACAAATTCCATGCATCTCTGTCGCCATTTCTGTTAATATTTTTGCTGTCATTCATATCATCCACTTCCCCATCCGTTAGCTTTTGAGGATATGCGTTAGAATAGCTGTTCTTAAATGAAGGCTTTTCACCTTTGAGAGCATAAACTCTATAACTTTCTGCATACTTTATGTTTGAACCTCCTGAGCCATCATTGACATAAATTTTTATAGGCTTCCACCCTTTGTTCATGTTCCTGCTTCTTCCCTTAGCTCTTTTGTTCAGTAGTTCTACATCTTTATACACAGCTCCTGTCTCAGTGAATTCAACAATATTTTCATTCGTTAGCTTTACATTCAAACCCTTGTCGAGTATATTGTTCATTTCATACATATAAAAGGTTTTTATTCTATATGAAATGAGAAGCAAATCCATCTTAGCTGGTGCCGTTAATGTTCCAATTGAACCAACATCAAATGTTGACTCACGAACGACAAACAATATTGTCATAAAGAACTATAGTTCAGAGTGTTTGAAAGAAAAAGAACCAGAACTGAAATCCGTGAATTTAAACACAGCTTCAAACGCTAACGCTACATCAGATGTTAAGTTAGAGTATCCACCACTGGACCAAATTCTTTCAAGAGAAGCCAACGACAACCCTTACACAAATGTTCAAACAAATCCTTCAGATAACGTAGACCATTACCTTCTTCAGTTATACCAAACAATTTTACTCAAAGACGATAAGAAGCTTTTGACAAATCTTATAAGTAAGAACCAAATAATTCTAACAAAGGAGGACCTTGAAAATGTTATATCACGAATAACAGGGAAACAATGTGTCATTGACTATCTCGACCCTGAAATCGAATGCTGTGGTCAAACGCCACCATTCATGAAAATAGGTAACATCCGCATCATTGAAACACCAGGAACTACAGGAGTTGAGTTTAAGTATAAATATTCGAATGAATATACAAAACTTTCAACAGAATATAAACTTTGTTTGAAATATGTTTTAGTAAATTAAAGCAATTTGTAATATCTATCCAAAACTTCTTCAACAGTATCGAACTCATCTTCATAATGCAAACCTAATCTTATTGACTTGGTGCAGTTTTCACTAACACAATATAGCGCTTTGCGCTCGGCGCCTTTGACGCCTTTTTCTGTTCTCTTGACTGACATAACTAACTCATTTGTTTCATCAAACAGCAACAACCAAAGTTCATGACCTAATACATAACATTCATACTTTATATTTTTAGCTCTGAGTTCTCTTGTAAGCTGTTGCATTTAATATTTTCTAAAAAGTCAACTTCAACAGTCATTCGCACTGGTGCCTTCAGTTCTACAGGCTCTCCTTGAAAGTCAACTAGTCTGAATTGCATGTCTTTCAAATTATGAGGACTAATGCGAACCCATTTACCTAAATGAGTTGCTATGACAGGAACGTTTGGAATGAACATTGAATTGACTGCATAACAGAAAGACTTATATTCTACTGAACCTTTACTATTAACTCCTGAAATACCTGTGACATTAGCTATTTTAGACTCAATGTACAAACAATTACCATAACATACGTATGGAACAGATTTCATCTCAATCGTTTTGTCAACACTTTTCAAAGGAAATGTCATATGGTATGCACCCAGAAGCAATTGAACTCTATGACTCATTCGTGTTATCTTAAACTCCTTCGCATAACTGAACTTCAAAACTCCTGCAATAAGTTTAACATTCATTAAGTTTTCTTCGTTATCCTTGTTTATTGTAGTATTTATGAGAGCATTTAACACTCCAGCTAATGTTTCCATCTTATATTCTACATTATTGTGAAATCTTATTTCGTGCTTCTTTCCATCTATTTCAAACTCCATGAAATCTGTTTCATCTGTTATGACAAAAGTTGCGATAGTATTGAAGTCAACAACTCTGAAAGCAAGTGCTTCATTCTGAAGACCTAAGTTTGTTTGTAGCTTTACTATTCCGTATTCGTTTGGGTCTGTACTTTGCAAATAGAACAACATTTTATTCTCATTAAAATATGACTATTGCTGCATATGCGTATGAAACAAATGAAGCAAGAAGAGCACATGAACTAGTAAACGAAAACTCAACTTTAACCATTGAAGGCAATGATTTAGTCATTGACGATGGAAAAACTAAAAAAGTCATTGATTTCGATACTTTTAACACTTATGACCCATTCATTACAACAAGCAAGGTTCCTATCATAAATGATGGAACGGTGCAATATATAAATTCTACAGTAGATGCCTCATTAGTGAAAGTATTGAATGTTCTCATTGAATTGTTAAAGAGCTTTCGATTTGACGACAACATTAAATGCCTAAAGAATTTAGTCATGAATGAGAAACAAATTCTTGGCGTTGCTGGTAGCAGTAATGATGTACACCTTATGACATTAGAATATTATAACGAACATAAAGATGAACTGAAAGGAGAGAAGGGTGACACCGGACCTCAAGGACCACAAGGAATACAAGGAATACAAGGAATACAAGGACCTCAAGGCGAAAACGGTTTGGATGGAAAGGATGGAAAGGATGGAAAAACTGCTAAATCATGGATATGGGACCTTATAAATACTGGTTTAACAGCTGCTTCATATGGAGTTCTTCAATACCAAATCGGAAAGATATGGGCAGTACTTGGTGAAGAAGCTTTAAATGACGTTAAAAATGCTTTGAACTTCATTTCAAATGGTTCGGATACTATTAAAACTTTATCTGGTTGGATGCAAGAAACAAGGAGTCAAATAGATACTGTAAGACGTATAGCAAACAATGCACGTACGGGATTGGATACTTTACGACAAGCACAAAATACACTAAAGGAAGCAAATGATATTCTTGGCTCAGTATCAGACATGCATGAAGATTGGCTTAAAGGTATTGACAAATCTTTAAAAAATCACAGTCAGTCTATTGCTGACTACAAGAAAAGTATAGATTTTTTACATAGTGCTATGGACGTACATGATGGAAGCATAAGGAACTTACTTAATGCTAACAATAACTTACCAGGAACTATTAAAGCATTTATAAAGTCCTTTGTAAAACCGGTGCTCTAACATTTAGGTCTTTGAGAGCAAGAGCATTGAAGTCAAGAGATGCAGAAACTCCAACAGAACCTACAGAAGGAACTGAAACAACAGAAACTCCAGAAGAACCACCAAAACCAACAGCTAATGAAATATTGTTCGAATATTTTCCAAGGTACTCTGTTCTCATTGCATACATTCAAGAAATACTTAAGAAAGCAGACTTGACTTTAGGAGATGATGAAAGTTCTGTATATCTTTCGTTCCAGTTTCAAATAGCAGAACTTTTGAGACAGATATGCTTAATGTATGACAACATCTCTGATTTCACAAGATATGATGACGACCATGACCCCGAACACGGTGAAGAAGAAGTTTTACAAACATCCATTAAGACAGGAAAGGTTTTAACACAAAGTCTCATTATTGACACCAAAGATGGCGAAGTGGACGTTCTTCAAGAGCTGAAGAAAAATACTTCTTCGGGAGGTGGTGGTAGGCATGAACTTGAAATAAATGAGATAGAAGAGAAATTAGCCGAAAAAGCAGATAAAAACCATGTTCATTATATAACTTCAGACGAACAGATTATAACGGACTACCATGGATATTTAACACGAACTGAAGAAGTGAAGACGGAAGACCCCAATGAAAGAAGATATAAATACATTCGTGCTAAAGGTTATGACATAAGCTGTACTGTACAGTATGACACGGGTAAAGCACCAGAAGCATTTAGTTATAACGATGAAATTTATGCCTCTACTTTCTCTGTTAAAGGTGTATTAGTTGAACCAAGATTTACTTTGAGAGTTAAGTCAAAAATAACGTTTGAAGATGCTATTAAAAGTAAAGCTGACAAAGTTGAACTCGAAGCAATGAACAAAGTTTTGAAATCTCATAAACACAACATCTCCGATATAAATGAACTTCAAGCTACATTAGACAGTAAAGCCGACAAGAACCATACACATAAATTCTTCACTACTGTTAGAGCAGACGACATAATATTGAACTATACCCTTGGTTCAAGTGCACCTTTAGAGAATCCAAGTACAAGCGTAAAAGATACACTAAACTCCTTAAATAGTAAATGTATGAACATTGAAGGTCATGCCAGAAACTTTGAAACCCATGAACTACCAGCAATGTTAGACAGTAAAGCTGACAAGAACCATACACATACAAGTTTTACAACTGTTGCTATAGAAAGTATTGAAGGAACGGTTGAAGAAACTGGTGGGGATGCATTATATTGTAAACCTCCTAACTTTCCACAAGGTTTAACATCGGATGACGACATAACGACGATGAGAAACATTAGATGTAAAGATGTTTATGTCATGAAGGATGAATATAATATTAAATTCACTGCTCAAGATTTATATGACAAGAAGGCTGACAAAACAGAGCTTCAAACATTAAAGACTGAAATACTTCAAACATTATATCCTGCAGGCTCTATTTATACGTCAATGAACTCAATAAATCCAGCAACAGTTCTGGGTTTCGGTACGTGGGAGCAGATTGTAGATAAATTCTTATACTGTGCGAACTCTTCAAAGCAAACAGGTGGTTCGAAGAAAATTAAAGAAGCAAACCTTCCACCGCACACTCATACAGGAACTACAAACACAACAGGTAGTCATTCACATTCAATAACAAAAAGAGGTTATACAAATCTTGCAGCAGGTTCGGATAGACAGGGAATGCATAGATATGATATTTCAAGTGACCCAGTAGATTCAAGCACAGGTATTTTCTGTGGAACCACAGGAAATCATTCACACACTTTCACAACAAATCCAACAGGCTCGGGTGAAGATTATATGCCACCATTTGTGACTATATTCGCATGGTACCGCGTTCAATGAACGCGCTTGAGCCTAGAATAAAATCTTTAACTTTACATAAATGAGCTTGAAAGAAGTATTCGAACAACATCCATGGAGGTCTTTTAAGAAATTCAATGAAGCTGCAAAGAGTTGGGGATTTACTAACAGAGCTGAAGTGAAAAGGTTCTTTAACAAAAATGTTGTACATCAAACAAAAATAAACCCTTACGACTACTTTTTACCAATTTACTCCAACACTCCTGACGCATACCAATTTGACACTCTCATTCAAAGCAGAAAAGGAGGACATAAACCATTCCTCATCTTCATTAATGTTAACACTCGTAAAGCATATGCATATCCAATGAGGAATAAAGGAACTCGTGAAGTGTTAAGAGTTTTACAAAAGTTTGTAGCAGAACATAGCCCAAGTACTTTAACATCAGACCAAGACAGTGCATACCTCAGCAATGAAATCACAGAATTTCTCATTAAGCATAACATAACTCACTACACTACTGAAGACCATAACCATAACATACTCGGCATCATTAATCGCTTCATAAGAACGCTCAGAGATTTAAATCAAGAGCGAGACTTTACCGAAGAAACAATGAAACATTTTCTCGAAGTATATAATTCCTCAACAAATTCTACAACAGGACATACACCAAATTCAATGACACAACAACAAGAAGAAAAGTATATACAAAAGAAACGAAGCCAAACACAAAATATCAGAAATTCAACACAATTTACCCTCATTCCTGGTACAAAAGTTCGTGTAGTTCTTGACGACAAACCGTTGACAAAGAAACGTTTAAGGTTAAGTCGAAATTATTATATCGTAGACTCTACGCAAGGTTATGGATATCTTATAAAAGCTGCTGACGACTCCATAGCATTTTACCCTCGTCATAAATTAGTGAAAGTAGTAATGGCAAACTTGCTGAAACCATTGACGAAGCAAAGCGAGGAGTGGTTATTGAAATACTTGACTATAACATAAACGATGACACTTATAAAGTAAGATATGAAGGAGGCGTTGAAGATGTTATACCATCTAAGAACTTGAGAGAGTCGAAGCCAACACATCTGGGACTATTAGAGCGGGAGTACTGGAAAGACAAAAATATGCCAGAAAGAATAAGAAAATTCTTCTAAACTTTTTCATTAGATGTAAATCAGACATGAATGAGAACAGTCATGATATCATTAATGGTACCATTTATTTTAACATAAAGACGCAAAGCGGCGGGGCATAGCCCATGAACAAAAATCATGAATTTTTGACATTTCCTTATGAAAGAAAAATAACGCTAATTTTTTTCTAAGAAAAATTTTTATTTTGTATGTAAAGACAGTAATGACAAACATTGAGTTTGAAACAGTTAGAAAGATAGACAATGACACCAAAATGGTTAGAATTGGTGATTTAAACGTAAGATACTCAAAGAAATACAACAAATATTCTTTGTCAGACATTATATCTCCATCTGGAAAGAAAACAAACGACTGGGTTAGAAATGCTTCAACTCAGAAAATTTTGACAAGAAATCCTGAGCTTATGATATCAGTAGCATTTCATGGAACAAGAGCATATCTTATAGACAAAAGTCTTATACCAATAGTTTTGATATGGTTAGACCCAGTTGTTGGATATAACTTCATAACATATGGTTCATTCGATACGGAACGTTGCAGTGAAGGCTTACTTTATATCGTTCAGAAACCGAAGGACTTCAACACAAAAAGATATAAGATAGGAAGAACATATAATATAACTCAAAGATATGACAGTACAGTCAATAGAGTCAAGGTTGTGTTCGTTAATGATATGAGAGCTGCAGAAACAGAACTACTTGAAAAGTTTGAGAAAATGTATGGTGCTCCCATGAAAGGTAAAGAAACGTTTGAAGTAGATGAGATAGATAAAGCTATAAAATTATTTGACGAAGTTGCTGAAAAATACATGTAAAGCGTTTATTTTTGGTCTTTTGTGAAAGTCAGAAAATAAAGTTAGTTTTATTTTTATTTATTTTTTTATTTTGTATGTAAAGACAGTAATGTCAACATTAGAGAACACAACAACTGCTATCGTTCATGAAGCCATAAATGAAGAATACGAATACATACAATATAACAAACAACTTCGCCTCATTCGTTCGGTCAAAGATGACATGTACCAAATGCAAAGTATAATGAACGCTCTTCGTTCTACAAAGCAAGCATATCATTGGTTTGAAAACCAACAGACAAAAGAACTTTTAGAAGAATTTCCTCATATGATTGCTTCCCTCGGAAAACCGAGAGAAGAGATTCCGTACGAAAATCGCAAGAATTTGGCACCTGGTTTGAAAGGTTATTATGTTCATAGACTTTTAGTAAATGCTGTAGCAATGTGGGCTTCACCTCGTTATGCTTGTTATATTTTCATGATGTTAGATGAACTATATAAAGCAGAACGTGGAGAGATGGAAAAGAAACTTCAAGCAAAAGATGAAGTCATTGAATCCAAAGACAAAAGCATACAGAAAAGAATACCACGTTCAGTACCAAAAGGAAAGGAAAAGATTTATAAGTATATGATATATACTGAAGGGTTGGAGAAAGAAGAAGATAAAGATATAGTTATGTTGCATTTAGTCAGAAGAAACAACAAGAGCTTTTATGACCTTGCTAAGATTTACAAATCTGACAGAAATTGGTTCTATCGTGAAAACTTACCGATTTCAATGACACCGAATGAGCAAATAAAGGAAATTGTCAAAAGTACTCTTCCTCAAACACACTATGACATCAAAGGTTGCACAATACTTACATTCAAAGAAGACTTACCATTACTGAAGGAAAAAATAACAGAATATTTCGATAACTTCAAAGAGGAAGAATAAAAAAATCTAAGCTATATTTATTTTTTTATAAAATTTTATCTCATATGAAAGAACATGAATTTAGAATATTCAGAACTCATGACAGAAGAAGAGAACGAACAACATGTAAAAGATTATGCAAAATTTCTGAAGGTATATAAAGCATTTAAACAATATCTAAATGCTTCTAAAGATTATGCAAAATTTCTGAAGGTATATAAAGCTTATGAAAAAGCGTATGAAAAGTTTATACATTGGGGAATTGTTGTAAAATATCGATATGAAGACTAACCAAAAATATATTTTTGCTTAAATGACGTCGGGGTCAATTTCTTCAACCATTTCACTTTCTTCGTCAATGTCAATTGAAGCTTCTTCAACCTTTGGTAAGAATTTCTGTATAACATCTTTGTTCGTTATTGTCTTCAGAGATGAAGGATAATATTTCACAGATGTTTCACACTTCTTATATTCTTTCTGTTCGGAAAGATTTAAAGCAATACTGAAGAAGTCAATGTTGGAGTTCTTTATAACAGTATAATGAGTATCTTTTACATTCACGAAGAAACCCTTTTGTTTCAAAACTACTGCTAACTCTTGTGAAGTATAACGTTTGCGGTCAATGACGATAGCTAATGGTCTGACATACTGACCAAACTTAGATTCTTTCACAAACTTCTTGTTAAAGATAACATTAACATTTGAAGCATTATTGAACTCATTCTTGATGACAGTAGCGAGAGCATTGTATGAAAAGAACTTGCAATCTTGCATGTGTTTCATTAAAATAAAAATATTAAATTATTTTGAAAAATAACTTAAAAAAATCTAATCTAATTTTTTCAAAAAATATTTTTTTATTTCCTACTAAAGATGTATCGGAAGTTGTCTAAGTTAGAACACTCGGAAATAAAACAACTTCTTACAGAAGCTAATATAGATGTTGCAAAGCATTACGCAACAAACAAAAAAGCACTCGCTGACATCCTCAATGACTACAATGGTGAAATAACTTATGATAGAATTCATGAGTTCATAAAGCCGCAACGCGGCGAGGACGAAGTCCATGCAAGAACTTTTCCTTTAAATGACGTTGCTATTGACTTATATCATAGACGTTCAATACCTCATGAAGTAAGAAGAGAAATGTTTGACATAACAAATGCAAACGTTGGTGAAACAAGAAGAAGAGACGACACACTGAAACAACAGAGAAGAGAGATGTTTAAAAGTGCTATAGAACAAGTTCGCAAAGCTAACGATGTCATTCGTTCCATTGACGACAAACCAAAAGAAGGTGAGAGATGGTTAAAGAAAGATGAAGAGAATAGGAAGAGAAATGTGAAGTCAGGCAATAGACTCATTGACTTTAACATCGAAGCTTTAGATGAACCAAACAGAGACTACTTACACAAACATTTCGGTAAGGTTTTCATGAGACTCTTAGAGAAAATTAAAATAAACTCACAACAGAGATGGATGGTATGTTATAAACTTGGTGGAAAGTATGAATGTTCTACGTTAAACCTCAATAATATTGGAACATTACTACATCAGCTCTTGAAGGAGAACTTTATATCAGAGATAGAAGCAAATGCCGCAGGTATTGTTGAAATGCACTATGACTTCTTCTTGACAAACATAAAGAATCTTACTGAAATAAAGATGTATGATTTAACAGAATATGAAGGCTTAACGATGTCAGATGTAAAGAAAGGCAAACCAAAAAAGAGACCATATAGAGATGAAAGCACACTGACAAATGACCAGAAAGCCATTTTGGAAGCTCTTAAGCAAACAGGAAACCCAGCACTTATAGAAAGCTTTTGGAAAGATAATGGTGAAAAGAAGTTTTATAAGAAGAGAAGCGGTCAGTTCTGGAAGTATCTTTGCACATTATCTATAAATCTTGAACGCTACCAAATCTTCAATGAACTGAACAAAAGAACTGCAACACTTATGACAGAAGACAATTGTTTCGTTTATGCTTGCATTCAAGCTGGAGTAGATGAAGAAACTATTGACCACATGAGAGAAGTCATTCGTGTTAGAGACTTTCCTCAAAGTAAAGTACAAGAAATTTCTGACGCAACAGGTATAGCATTTAATGTTACCATTGGTTATTTCAATGACTCAAGACATAATGAAATAAAGATATATACCAAA